GGAGTACATAGGAGAACGCGATAAAACCAATGATGTTTGCTAGCAGGCGTAATGCGTGGTTTTGTTATCTAACGTTGTAAAGACCTTATTCAAGCTCATATAATGAACGTAGCTGTTTGAGTAGTTTGTCACTCTTGATTTTATTCGATGGTCTTTGGTTCGACTGCCTGTCTATAGGTCTGATAGTGAACGCAACATTTAAGTGTGGGGGGGGGGGGGGTGTTATTATACTCGAAAATGTTTTGGACAATTTGTAACTTCATAAAATTAGCATAATATTTTCCTTCCACATCTTTTAAAATTCACCAGTGTTATCATCTTTACAGTGGCCATTACATTTATTTAAATTTTATTTACTTTTATATGGTATAGTACATGAAGCTCTCAGTGTCTCAGACTGTCGAATGACAGAATAATTAATATATAATCAATTATAAATTGTGTGTAAGAAAGCGGTGGCGATATAATGCAAGGTACTACCCAGTATTTTCGTGTAATTACTGAAAGATACGAGGGACGCCAGTGAGAATATCCGGTCTCCGGGTCGAGATCTAAAGCTGGTAAGTCTCGAATACAAGACAGGATTAATAATCACTCGGCTACGATGCGGAACACAATTAAACAAATACCAAACCAACTTAGCTTATGACATGAACTGGATCCTACCTAAGTCCTTTATTAGAAATTTACTGAAGGATTACTTTCTTAAATTTACACGTATGGCTGGTAGTTTTAGAACGTACAATAAACAAAAACGTGTTTCTTAATTTTTTGTTTTGTTAAAAGAGGTAAAGATAATTACGCAAAAGGACTTTTTCGGTATTTGTCTTCAAATAATATTGTTAGGTAATTAAAAGATGTAAGTATAATTAATCCTTCGTACTTTCTAAATTAAGGATTAAAGGATCGGAAAGTTTCAAGACTGTGTCAACAGAGGGCGAATCGGATGTATTACGAGCTTCTGCCGCTAGGGGGGGGGGCCTACATTCATAGTGAATCAGTATGCCAGCCGGCATCATCGAATTAGCATTTGTTTCTTAGTTACGGGCGTTTTGGTAGTGCATTACACCGACCCTCCTGCGATTTCGGAATG